TCCACAAATTTTGGATCAGACTATCATTAGAGAGGCTAGGTGGTTTATCTCACTTCGTGCGCATGACTTGCCCACTCATAGCAACGGTCTGCTAAAAAGAGACCAGAGAACACAATAGGAAGCGCATCATGATAAGAAAAAGAGCAATATGACATTCAGAATAAGGAAACACTCAAACTTTATTCGAGCGATGAGCTGGTATGATGAACTAGCGTTTCTACCGCGACTTTCTGTCCACAGACCTGCGCGAAAAGGAATTTATAAGATCTCATAAATATAGTTTTGAAATCCCAATCGTGCATCAACTTACCTTCTTCGCCCCTTTAGTTTACCTGTATTTTGTACCTTTAACCTGGTACTGCTCTGAACTTCTACTCCTAACATTCACTCCCTCATCACTGTGCAGCCACATCGAAAGTCGGGTGCAGGAAACTAAGGTTGATAGTTGTGTAAACTGAAATGAAACTAGGTAACAATTGGACAGTTGCCAAAATGATTTAAAGGCATCGATCTCTAATATAAAAGAAATTAAACCCCTTAATCTTTATCAAGGAATTTTTATTACACATTACTGCACGACCGATAGGAAAAAGATAATACCGCATGATCATGACTACCCTTCACTCATTTATAATAACCGGCAACCCAAATCTTGGAACTTGGAACGGCGAATCGCATAAGGTTATACCAAGATAGGCGTGGTATTGAGCCAGAAGAAACAAACCTGCCTACCACCAAAGCTGGGTAGTGACGAAAGAGTTTGAACAACAGACACGCCAGACAGCCACATGAATAGTCAGAGACTATTACAACTGATGCGCANGATGCGCAACACGGGAGGTTGGCGACCCACAGTTGGTGAAACAGTCTGCGACAAAAGTGGTCAAGCTAATCACAATAGGGAACAACGGCTTGACCGATGGGCGGAGTACTTCAACTGGCCAGGCGCTAACCAGGCTATCTCCGCCGATGTAGCTGAGGCTCCATGGGCAGTCATCTGAACCTCCTACAGGAGAAGTTCGTTCTTGCATCCAAGCCCTGAAGAAAGGAAAAGCAGCACGGCCAGACGGGCTTATTCCCACTCTTCAAGATGGGGGGCGATGAACTTGTAGACTCCATTACTGATTTAAAGCGTAACATCTCGTTACACCAGCGCATTCCATCATCCTGGAGCGAATCACTGACCGTTCCAATTTTTAAGAAGGAATCTCGCAATGACTGCGCAAACCACTGAGGATAAATTTGATCTCAATCGTCACCAAGCTGCTAGCCTCAATTATACTTCGACGTCTGACACCGTTTAAGGAGACGAACATCCGC